CCAGGGAACCTTGGCTGCCCCCTCCCCAGCCCCGGAGCCCTTAAAAGGCCACGGTCTGGCTACGGTGCCCATGCCAGGTGCAAGCCAGCCAGCACCCAGCCAGCAGACCCTGCACCTGGCATGGCATGAGTCAGCCACCCGCTGCCACCCAGCCCTCCGCCTCTTCCCAGGACCAGGCTGGCAGCTCCCAGCGGCCCCCCGCCTCGTCTAGTGCGGAGATTGTGGACCTCATCCAGGTTTGGGGGGAGGCGTCCAACATCCACGACCTCCGCATTAGGCACAGGAAAGTGGCTGTCCAGGGGAGGGGAGCTGCCCCTCCTGGTCTGGGGGGGAGCGGGGGGATGAAAATGGAGGACTGCTACTCTTACCGTGTTAAGAGCTACAAGCAGCTGTTCAACTTGACACAATTTTGCCCATGTGCAAAGAAGAACAGTTGCTCATTAGTCACATTAGAAGTCAGCCGCAACGTTCAAGGTAGCCCTCTTTCTCATTCTTCAGAAGATACCCAAGTTTGACAGCTCATCTCGAGAGGTATGCTGTCTGCCAGGGGCCCGTATCCGAGATGTTACGGAGGCATTGTCGAGGATTATCCGGCCCTCTGACTACTACCCCATGCTACTCATCCACGTGGGCACAAATGATACTGCCAGGTGTGACACTGAGTGGATCAAGTGTGACTACAGGGCCTTGGGTGTACGGGTGAAGGAGTTTGGAGCGCAGGTGGTATTCTCTTCTATCCTTCCTGTCAAAGGTAGGGGCCCGGGCAGAGAGAGGTGCATCCTGGAGGTGAATGCCTGGCTGCGACGATGGTGTCGCCAGGAGGGATTCGGCTTCCTTGATCACGGGGTGCTCTTCCAGGAAGGACTGCTTGGCGGAGATGGAGTTCACCTTTCCAGGAGCGGGAAGGCCTTGTTTGGACACAGACTGGCTAACCTTGTGAGGAGGGCTTTAAACTAGGTTTGTCGGGGGCAGGTGAGCAAAGCCCACAGGTAAGTGCTGAATGTGCGGGACTGGGAGATGGGTTGGAAATGGGGGGGACTACGGCCTATAATGGGAAGGAGAAAGGAGGGTCAGGGCACAACAGGGAGGAAAGATCAAATTAGTATCTTAGATGCCTATATACAAATGCGAGAAGTATGGGTAATAAGCAGGAAGAACTGGAATTGCTAACAAATAAATACAACTATGATATCATTGGTATTACAGAAACCTGGTGGGATGGGACGCACGATTGGAATGTTGGTATAGAAGGGTACGGCTTGCTCAGGAAGGACAGACAGGGGAAAAAAGGGAGGAGGGGTTGCCTTGTATATTAAAAATGTACACACTTGGGCTATGTCTACACTGGCCCCTAATTCCGGAAAAGGGATGCAAATCAGGTAAGTCAGCACTCGGCCATCAGCCCCTCTTCCCCCCCGCCCGTCCAAATCAGTTTTTCCCTTGCTGCAGCTCGTAATAAAACTGCCTCTGCCTACTTGTTGCTTACAAACGCAGAGTGAGGACAATGTTTTCTTCCATTTATGTTGCTTTATGTTGCATGTGATTTCTATTGTCCGGTGGTAACCATGTGTACGTGCCTCTGTCTCTTTGGGCACTGCATTACCATTTAGATGGAATGTGGGATTTCGGATGTGATTCACTGAGGGAATACGTGCAGCCCATCACCAATACAACAGCCAGGGTCACTGTAACCTGACCCTGGGAGGGAGGTATGACCAGGCGATGCCTTTGGACAAAGGAGGAGCTGGGGCTGGAGGGACGATGCTGGGTGTGTTGGTGAGTCTAGCTTGGGGCAGGATGGGGGGCCAAGGCCAGGGCCCCTTCTCCCCAAGATGGATGATCCTGGCTGCTCCTGGGTCCTGTTCTGGGAAGACTGTCCTGTGCTGTGTCCCTGTGAACTAACAAACCTTCTGTTCTACTTGGCAGCTGAGAGTCACATCTGATTGTGGATGGGGGTGTAGGGCCCGGTGGCTCCCCACAGTTACACACTAGGTCAGCATTTCTCAAGCATGGCCACGAGGAGGTTTTGTTATGCCACAGACCTCTGTGCAGCAACTGAGGGACAGAACAAAGCAGCCGATCCTCCCTCAAGATCATCAGCAGGCAGCCAATGAGTTCCCCACCTTTCTGGGAGTGACTTCAGCCCTGGTGTGGCGTGCATAGGCATTGGTACTGTGGGCTCAAGCCCTGGACCCAGATCCTGGCACTAAGCTCACCACACACAAACTCCATCAACCCAACCCCCAGGGCTGCAGGGCCCTAGCCACATGGGGTAGGCCCTGGCCTCAGGCTCATCCCCATGAGCATCTGCACATCACTATAGCTCGCATGGCCACTCCAGCATACCCCTCCCTCCCCACATCTCACTATCTCCTGTCTCACTTCACCATCCAGGGTTTTATTTGTCCCCTGGCTTGCCAGGGCTAAGGCTGCTGGGAGGGGGTATGAACAAATATCACGTATACAGCCTGTCCACTCCAAAACCTATCCCTACTTACAAGTCTTTTTAAAAAGCAACAACAGAGCAAAACAGAAAACAGATCTTGTCTGGATATCCGGTTCATTCAGGCCCGTAAAGCACACAGAAAATTGTACACTGTTTTCATCCAATCGGAAACAACCCTACAGGAACTAGCTAACACCTGTTTGTTTGATGGGCTGGACCTTACACTACAGGGATGTGCATAATTCGGGTTGGGACACGTGTGTGTGACGGACTGAGACGTGCAGCAACAGACATGCTTCATGATGACACACGGCAGGACCCAGACATGCACATATGTGGCCAGGTGTATGTGTGTGTGATGGGCTGGAGCCTGCAGGAAGGTGTGTGGAATGGGTAGGATCCAGTCACGTGCGTGTGTGTTTGTGACAGCCTGGTCCCGCAGGCACGTGCATAGCACAGAGGCAGGACCCGGACACGTGAGTGTGGCCAAGTGTGTGTGATGGGCTGGAGCCCACAGGAAGCCACATGGCACAGGGACAGGATATGCATGTACGGCCGTGTGAGTGTAACAGGCTGGTCTTGTTACTGAGCTTGTTATTGAGCTTGTGGTCGTGTGCTGAGCTTGTGTTTGTCTGGATTGTTTGTTTGTTTGGTTGCTTTGTCTGTTTGAAGGAGCTTCTAAAAGGTTTGAAATCTAGAAGCCTCTGTTAATTGGCTGAGCCTCAGTCAGGGGGAGGGGCTAACAGAGCTATATAAGCCTGTGACTCAGCGACCAGGGAGAGCGCGACCAGGAACAGCTAACAGGAGAGTTTGGAGAGGGAGTTTAGAGGGCGCTAGTGACTTCTGACCTTCTTTAAAACATAACTCTTAGAATAATCTATACTCCAGAGGTTTAAAAAGAATCACAGTTTATACTTAAACTTATTCATTAGAAAAATGGAGACAGAAGCCCAGCAGCAGAGTGGGGGCTATCCTGTTTATTGCATCGGGTGTAACATGTATGATTACCTGCCCTGTGGGCGGGTGGCGTATGTGTGCACCCGTTGCAAGGAGCTTCTGACCCTCAGAGACCGAGTTCGGGCTTTGGAGGCCAGGGTGGCTGAACTGGAGGAGCTAAGGAAGGTAGAGAGCTATGCTGATGAGACTTTCCGGGACACTGTAGTACTGTCCCACCTCCAGTCTGAGAACCCCAGGGATCTTAAGGAGGATGAAAGTCTCAAGGGAACAGAGCATTTAATGGGAGCAGAGGGAAACCATCCTGTAGTTGGGACCCTCCTCCCAGAGGATGTTGCGGTATCCTCTCGCACTGAGGATACCTCTGAGGGGG